CCCACAAATATACAGTCAATTCACTTTACAGTGTGTTCTGTGAAGCGCTTTGGGACGTCCTCCTGACGTGAAAAGCGCTATATCAAATGCAAGGATTATTGTTATTTTTATTATGTATTTCACTTTCATTATTCCAAGAAATGGTTTCATTTAAACAACCCCTCCTCTCCTCCCTTCCTTTATTTTTTATTATTTGCTCCACCTTCTCGGCAGCCGGTCTGTGAGACCCATCAGGCCGAATGACGCACAGTCTGTTGACCCCTTCGCATCTGTGCCTGTCCCACAGGCAGCCTGCAAAATGGGGTCAGGCTGCAGGTGGGAGGGGATGCGGAGCCTGCTTCTCTGCTCGGGTGGAGAACCGTGACTGGGGCAGTGGGAGCCTTTGCATTCAATCAGAAAGCAAACAGATCATCTACCATGCAGCTGACATTCTCTGTGGTAGACAGTGCAGTGCTGGTTGCTGCCTGCCAGTACAATCGGTTGAGCAATGTACGACCTGTTTAGGAGCCAGAAGAAGCTGTACAGCATCAGCGCCCGTATTGCGAGGCTAATTTTCTTTTAATAAAACAATGTGTTTGATAGTGTATTGCAGAAGATAAGCGGATTTAAATTGCAGTTGTATTTTATTCACTATTGAACATGACTTTCCTGGTACCAGCGCAGAATTTGCCCCCCTTCCCTCTTTAAAGGAGAGCAACATCCCACTTCTCTCTCTTCTTCCTCCCCCCACCCTGACTGAACAGAGTCAAATTTACCATAACATTCAATGGGTCCGTGACTTATGCTCTGAGAGGCTACCCTGTGTGAGTTTAGCCTCGCAGAGCACAAGTCATGGACTGTATAAACAACTCACATTCTAATTTAAACACTTTAAGCACAACTGGAGTTCGCAAGAAACAATTCTGGAATAAATCTGCAATGGTGAAGGTGGGGTAATGCAGCACATGGAAGGGTTAAGCATGAATCACTGCTGAAAGCCTCATCTGTCTTACGGGTGTGAGGAATAGAAATGAAACAAAAACCTCAGGGCGACGTCTTCCTGAGATGCGGCAGGTCTGAAGCAGAATTTCTAGTTTATTTCTAACTTGATTTTCGCTTCCAAAGTACTGCCCCTTCCCACCCCACATTGCTTGGGTTTCTGCACTGACTCTGTGAAACACAGACATAATCCCTCATGCAGGTGCTACCCAACTGCAAGTTGTTGCTGAAACGTTAAAACACAGAGCTCTTGGATGTCTGCTGGTAGAATGTCTGTAAATCCCCACAATTTCCAACACAAATGCTGTTTGTACACCTAGGTTATTTGCAGATTGTAATGGTACCCTGGCATAAGAGAATGTTACTGAATCTTGCACTGCTATTTATCCTGAAAACTACCTGTACAGTAATCGGTCAAGTGCAGTGCCTTTTTTTGTAACCAATTGTAACTACTACTTTGCACTCAAAGTCCATACCCACAAATAGTAGGATATTATCCATAATTTTGTACCTCGTCTGTTCTCTGGAAAAGTCGAGTTAAATGACAGATTAAGCTGAAGGAAATTGGAGAAGTGCTCAAACAGGCAGCACTTTAGTGTTCTCTTTCCAAATCAATTTATGAAATGTTGTCTTTATTGAGGTCTGTAGAGTGGAAGGAAACGCAAGGAATTTCACCACACAGATTCTATCCTGGCATCAGATATTGAGCATGTTTGGGCTCAAGTGTTCACTAAATACACTACTGGGACGGTGGGGTTAGATGGTTCCGAGCACATATTGCAGCAAATTCATTGATGTGGATTAAAGACTGTTCTGCTCTGCTCGCTAAATATATAGAGCATTTGGTTCCTGTGTGTCTATAAATAGCTAATGTATTTTTAAGTTTAAAAAATATTCTAAATGCACAATTCTACGATAAACCTGCATAACCACAGGGCAAATTTCCTAAATTTACCAAACTGCAGTATGAGCACAAGCCGTATCAACCCTTATGTGATCAGCGTCTCTCTATAAAACAATGTTGATGGCATTTCATTTGACAAATCACTCATTATCATTTCACCCCAAATTTTTGGTTCCAGATCTGTCAAGGAAGTACAGACTGCAAGATAGCAGCTCCCAATAAAGTTAATGCAACTAAATTGATACACTGGGGCAATTTACTCATAAGAATTGACTCTCAGATAACTTGCTTTGAACTCAACTATCCTTTAATAAACGAACATTTGTCAGATCAATTATTAACAACAAACCTGAGGCACTGCCCACATGGACAGTATTTTAAGCATTGTCTACATCACACTGCAGTAGTTACAAAGCACTGAGTAAAAGTGTCACCACACCATGAGTTACAGCGCGGACACCAATAAATGTCAGTATTTATTTGCAATTAACTTTTTTTAATATCTTGTTATTAGCAGCGCAATTATGTTTTTTTTAAAAAATTAAATTCCAATTTGCATAACCAGGAAATCACACCTGTCTTCCGTAATAATAATCCTCCCATTTGAAATCGTGCTATCATGCGAGAGCACATCTCAAAGTGCTTCACTTGTAAAGGTTAAAGTGGAGTGACTGAATATTTTAGAGTTAGATTTTGTAGTTAAACATTCAAAGTTAGATACAGACATGAGGGGGAAGAGAAGAGTATGAGAGGGGGAAAGGAGTGGGTGGAGGCTCATGGAGTTGAAATGCAAGTTGTTGTATACAGACTGGCACGGACTGGTTGGGCTAGTTGGCCTGTTTCTGTGCTGTATAGTTTGTAAATTTGTAAACTCTGCAAGTTCAAAGAAAGCATCAGTGTCTGCCATCTTCGATGAATGAAAATCCTTTGAACTTTTTGGGGGGCCAAAATTGTTCTTGAGTGAATACTGTGGACGCACAATTCTAGATTGCTCCAACATTTTCCTCCCAACCAAACAAAGGCAATTCAAGGGCTATTGTGTGAAACAATCCTGAGATTACATTCCACCGCAGACCCAGTTTTAGTACAGGTGAGGATTGGTTAGTAAGGTTTCGAGACTAAGATTACTCTTTCACCCGAGGCTCACAGAAGCACCTATGTATATCGTACATGGTATACTATGTGACATAGAGTATGGATATCTATGTCCCACACTTACTGTCTTCATTGTCTCAGTGAGTTTGCCAAATTAGTGCTAAATTGCAGGAGTGTCCTGGGCACTAATACTTATTGGAAACTGGGAAAATAATTGTCAAATTAATTGCGGCTGGGAGGAAGGAGCATCTCTCCTTCAGTACGTTGGATTCAAGTCCATGCCCAGTGTAAAATAATCCAATATTCAGAGATAATAATACTACTAAAAATAATCCTTGCATTTGATTTAACACCTTATCACGTCGTTGAGACATCTCAAAGCGATTCACAGGTGTAAGGTGCCTACCAGCCACCCACCACCGCAAGAATTCACTATTTTATGTTCCGACTTCATCTGATAGAGTTGACTGAAACGTGTGCTCTATGGTGGGAGGCGTTGGGGCTGGCACAGTATTCTGCACAATAATGGGCAGAATGATTCACAGGATGAGGTTACCTTGGTAATGAGATTTCAGGTCGCAGTAAAGGAGGAGGTGAAGCAGCCGCTGTTACATATTGGACTGAAATATCTGGAAATAAATAAGATTTTGATTTAGTTTATTGACTACTGCCCTGTATTGTGTTCTCTTTTACCTGGATGTTTCCCTAAATGAAGGCAAGTGATCAGTCAGCCTCACATGTTAGTGATGAGGTATTACGTGATATTCTTATAAAGCATTTTCTATTTTTTAAAAAAAAGATGATCAAAGGTGATTAAAGAGTAGTAAATCATCATTTTCTAGATGGTGTTAACGTGGAGCTTGGATTCCAGATCTGTGTTAGATTACGTGAGCCTGTTGATAATGTGGAGACTAGTGTGCGTCTGGGAGTGTTCTACAGGTCTTTTACACACTCGAGGAGCTTTGATGGTATCATAAACCATTATGTTATATGACGTACAGACTCATTGGAACCTGCCGAGTGTGTGAAAGCTTTCAGCCCGTTCACAGCCATAATCTTTGTAGCCTCTTTTTTAAATTAGTGAGCACTCTCGTTCTGCTACTGAAATTTGTGTTTTACCATTAACCAGTAATTTTCCTATTAACGTCATTTTTACTCTCAAGTGTTTTACTGTCTGGGTCGAAATTTTGTATCTGTAAGAATTATAATTTTGACAGGCTTGTAATAGACCTTAGCAACTCTTGTACTAGATTATCGAAGGAAGTTACCGCATGATGAGAGAAATCCTTCACTGTCTAGAGTAATGGAATGACTTAACAAGGGGTAACAACTTGCTTAGTTATTAGCACCCAGATAACAAATATCCAGGTACAAATTATTTAAAAATCACATAACAGTAACATTGGGTGCCCCAGTATGTCACATTGCTACATTACTATTCCAGTGATTCAATATGAGCAGAGGCCAATTAATAATGGAGACACACACATACACATATAGTAGACAGACAAAGCAGGCTGCCCTCATACAATAAGATAACGTGCTATTGTGCCCTAGCAAATTAAAACCCATTGTGTGGAGGTCTTTGAGAGTGTTCAATGTGCTGAGGTATTACATTAAATACCAGGTTTATGATGCCAGGAAAGGAACAATGATTAATGTAGGATATTAGACAATGTGCAGGGTGACCAAAAGGTCGTAAAACCATTACAATGTCTAATAAGTCTTAAAAAATTATGATTTGTTTTTAGATAAGGTAGATAGCACAATTTTTTGGTTATCCTGTATTAATGAGTCTTGTCTGTTTGTCTGCATTATTCTTATGGAAATACTGTATTGCACAGCTCGGCTGTTTGAAAGGATTTCTTAGGTGATACTGATTACAAGTAGCTCAGAGGATACATTGAAATCATCTTGGGAAAGCAGCGAATGAAAAGATTCAGAGCAGGTTAGGATGCAGAATGGAACAGCGTCATGCTGGATCAACAGACTAAACCTTGTTTTTTTTCTCCTCTCTTTTCAGATTACAGCGATAAATTGAATTTAAGACAACAAACATCCAATAAATTATGAATGTTGAACAAGATGACATTGCATCCACAGCAGATGATGATAGGTCCAAAGTTTAACAGGGCCATACTCGACCCCTTGTTTGTGCTGCTGTTGGCTCTTCAACTACTGGTGGTGGCTGGTCTGGTCAGAGCTCAGACCTGCCCGTCTGTGTGCTCCTGTAGTAACCAGTTCAGCAAAGTGATCTGTACCCGGCGTAATCTGCGAGAGGTGCCAGATAGCATCTCCATCAACACGCGCTACCTGAACCTGCAAGAAAACGGGATCCAGGTCATCAAATCCGACAGCTTTAAGCATTTAAGGCACCTGGAGATTTTGCAGTTAAGTAAGAACCACATCAGACAGATTGAGGTCGGGGCCTTCAACGGCCTGACAAACCTCAACACCCTGGAGCTATTTGACAACCGCCTTTCCACCATCCCCAGTGGAGCTTTTGAATACCTATCGAAACTGAAAGAGCTATGGTTGAGGAATAATCCGATTGAGAGCATACCGTCGTACGCTTTCAGTAGAGTCCCTTCGCTTAGAAGATTAGATTTAGGCGAACTAAAAAGGCTGGAGTACATCTCGGACAGAGCCTTTGATAGCCTTTCTAACTTGAGGTATCTGAACCTTGGAATGTGTAACCTACGCGATATCCCAAGCCTCATGACTCTGCTGAAGCTGGAGGAGCTGGAGCTATCGGGGAACCGTCTCTCTCAGATCCGACCGGGCTCCTTCCAGGGCTTGACAAACCTGCAGAAACTGTGGATGATGCACGCTCAGATTCAGGTGATCGAGAGGAATGCCTTTGACGACCTCCAGTCCCTGATCGAGCTGAACCTGGCGCACAATAACCTGACTTTGCTGCCTCATGACCTCTTCACCCCACTCCACCACCTCGAGCGGGTCCACCTGCATCACAATCCGTGGAGTTGCAACTGTGATATTCTGTGGCTTAGCTGGTGGCTAAAGGAGATAGTGCCGTCCAATACGACATGCTGTGCTCGCTGCCACACACCCCCTAACTTAAAAGGCAGCTACATCGGAGAACTGGACCAGAACAAATTCAACTGCTACGCGCCGGTTATCGTCGAGGCTCCTACGGACCTTAATCTGACTGAAGGGATGGCCGCAGAGTTGAAGTGCCGGGCTTCGACCTCCATGACCTCAGTGAGTTGGATTACTCCAAACGGCACAATAATGACTCACGGAGCCTACAAAGTGCGGATCTCTGTGCTTAACGACGGCACATTAAATTTTACTAATGTGACGGTCCAGGACACGGGGCTGTACACGTGTATGGTGAGTAATTCTGCAGGGAACACCACGGCTTCAGCCACACTAAACGTGACGGCGACGGAAAATAGCACGTTCACTTACTTCACCACGGTCACAGTGGAGTCCATGGAGCCGTCGATACAGGTACACACGAGCGACGACAAGTTCAGACCCACGCCTTTCAGCGACTGGGAAACGACCTTTGTGACCACCTCCCTGACTCCTCGGAGCACAAAGATGACAGAGAAGACGGCCACAGTGGCCATCACTGACGCGGGAGACAACGTCATGCCCGGCCTGGATGAGGTGATGAAAACCACCAAGATCATTATCGGGTGTTTTGTAGCCATCACGCTGATGGCGGCAGTGATGTTGATCATTTTTTACAAAATGCGCAAGCAACACCACCACCAGAATCACCACGCTCCCATCAGGACCATCGAGATCATCAACGTGGACGAAGAGATCGCACGAGGTACTGCCGTGGAGAGTCACCTGACGATGCCCGCCATAGAGCACGAGGATATGAACCATTATAACTCGTACAAAGCACCGTTCAACCATACAGTAAACACGATAAACTCAATACACAGCTCTGTGCATGAACCATTATTGATGCGAGTGAACTCTAAGGACAATGTGCAAGAGACACAGATCTAACAAAACAAAAAAGGATTATATAAAAAAAAACACAAAGAACACACAAATTTACAAATGACAAACAGGACAAGGCTGACTCTACTGTTTAAAAGAAGTGTCTTTAAAGAGGTTTATTTATTAAAAAATAATTCTATTGTGATCTAAAACAGAGACAATTATGTGTATTCTAAACACCGATTTGACATACAATGCTGCGCCCATTAATTTAGTCATCGCCATGTTTTTCATAGGAGATTTTGATTCTCTGAGGGATTGTTCCGATATTTTGTAAGGATTCTGTTTCACATGGGGTTTTTATGGTGAATTCTAGTGGTGAGATTCAGTCTGTTTTGTCTCATTCTGTTATTTCATGAGCTCTTACAACTGGTTATGACAGGGAATGCAGTATTAGAGGTAGATTTATATTAAATCTTTTATTTTCCATGTACCATCTTGTTCTATATTTACAAACCAAACCATTCTGTGAAGATTGCTTTACATGTAAAAAAAAACATACAAAAAAAAATCACATACCCATGATCTTTTAAACAAGTCTAGACTCAGAATTTGTAGTTCAAATACTAAATAAGATTATAAATAAACTATTGTTGGTTTTCAGTACTTTCAAATATCTAAATTAATGATTCTGAAGTCAAAGTTTGACAACCTATTTGCAATTTTCTGTAACATATTAACCTGACTGCGAAGAGAATGAACAGTCAGGATTTTGATAGTGCAAATCTAATTTACTCAATAAGGTAGCTGGTTTTTGGTTTTCATATTGTTACGAGTAATGTGCCACAGAGTATGTTGATATGGCAGCTCTTTATTCTAGTGCAACAACTGCTGTGTTCAAAAAGGAATATGCAAACGATTTTGTTTTCCTCTTAATGCTTATACAAAATTTAATGTTGGATGCCCAATGTGGTGATGCTCTCGGCAGCTCAAAAGTTCTCAACCGTTCGAACAAGAAAAAGACACAAGACTTCCCTCCCAAGAAAACGTGCTGACGTGCAAAGACCGGTTTACTCTCCAGTGCTGCTTGTTATTACCATTGAAAATTCAGAAGCAGTTGTCTCAGTTGGTCAAGCTGTTGTCTTTAGATCAGAAGATTGTGGGCTCAACCTTCCTACCAGTAGTTGAGTGACCCATTGTATGGTGCTAAGGGTACTGCAATGTTAGAAGCACTGACCTTTGGATGTGATTTTAAGTCTCGTCATCTGTCCTGGTTTGCCAAAGGTGGCATTGTTCCAATCGGAGAGACTAGGGGTTATCATGGTTTCCTGAACAATATTTCCCTTAGAAAAAATGTCAAGATTCCTTGTTTCTCCCAGGCATCCTTAGGCAATCCTGATTAAATATCTTACTAGAAATATAATGACCCAAGCTCATTTTGTTCATTGGCAAGTGAATTCAAATCACCTAGCTCCAAGGTGGAATGTACATATAAATAGAACCACATACAGTTTGTGCAAAGATGTGCTTAAAAGGCAACGTTACCGCAGTCAGTGAGTATAAAATAAAAGACCAGTTTCCCAACCTATCTACCAGTTTTAAGGTTCAGTAAAAAAAAAAATTGAAGTTTTGAAAGAGTGCATCAGGAAATATTCAGAACGAAATAGTCTCTCTTTGCCCTTTTTTAAAGAAGATCAGGAAATACACGAAGCTTTAGGTTCCTCAGAATAATCATGCCAGCAGGCCGAGAGTTTTCCTGTTCAGAGCATGAAAAGCCAGCATGAGAGTGGAAGGAAATGATGATCAAGAGCTTTCCCCTATGTATTGTTCTGAGTGCACAGGAAGCCAGTCCCCGTGACCATAACAGTTAATAGTATTGCACTGGCAGAATGAACAGTGCATTTATTGTGAACGCTCAAACTTTGAGAGTAAATTTGCGGAGAATTCATGGTGAATTCAACAATACGTTTAATCAAGAAAATGGTGTAACACCTTCATAAAACAGTCGGGTTCCTCAACCAGTTATGAAACCGTACAGGGTGACCACAATAAGTCCAGACACACATATGATCCAATACATTTTGACATGAGAAATGCTTGGAACCAATTGGCCTGTGGTTTCATGGTCTTGATTGCATAGTTCCCATTTACTCCAAAATCGCAATGGGTTACGGGTGTCAGTTAGGACCATTCTGAACATATATTTTTTTAAAATTAAATGACTTCTTTAATCGACTGTGTGCTGATTCATTTTATTTTTGGGGGGACAGGATTGGTAAGAGTTGGAAAGTGGGACTCAAAAGATAGGATTTGGCTTTGTTACGAGGTCTGGTGGCAAAGCTTTAGAATGAGGAATGCAAACAAAGCTGAGGGTTTCAGTGTTTGTTATACCTGTATTCTCTGCATATACCGCACAGAAATATTGTGCTTACCCCCATCAGGAAGGAAGGGCTCCTGATCTCAGTTTCTCCCCAACTCATCCCTCCCTCTTTAAATTCTTTCCTATATTTCCAGAGAGATGGATTGTCACTGGACATCTGTGGAAGCAAAATGTCTCACATTGCAATGCAACGAAGAACATAATGTAAATTGAAAGGATCGGGCACTCAGCAATATAAAATACTAATAATGTGTGAGTGAAACACAAAGAGAGAAAGAATCCAGAAGACATGTGCCTTGTATTCATCTAGGCGTCATGCATCATACTGTCAGGCTACCACTTTGTCTCTGTGATGTTCTCCTTACATTAAAAGGTGCTATATTAGTGGAATTTGTTGTTGTTGATGGGGTTTGTAGCACAAGAAAGCAGTCGGTTCATGGATGTAATAAACATGTGGTAAAGAGCTTGCCAAATAGCTTTCCAGTATAACAACCTGTCTTAAAACATCACTCTGCAAACAAAGATTTACTAAAGGTGGTGATGTACACACTGCACAATTGGATCGTATAGGGTGTAAGAATCTAGAATGGGGCAATGTCATTTGAAAGAGAGGATTGGTCAAACCCTAGAAGTGGCTTAAGGTACAAAGAAATGATGCTCAGAACATACTGCCATGAACACAGATTAAAAATCAATTGATCAACTGTGCTTGTTTCAAACGTGCAGAAGAATTCATCAATAAGCAGGGCCTTAAAAGTTCCGAAGACTATTGGAAAAGGGGTGTAAAATGAGAACCATAACTGCTTGTTGAAAGAAGTATCAAGTGAAAGAAGTGGTGAAAATGGGATGTGTAAACTCAGTTGGAAGGATTATCATGTTCTTGTGGATTGCAAATAGCCTTATCTGCTTTGTCAGCAGTAGTGCATTCACATTGCTTCTTTGAACGTTTTGGGTTGAGCTAAAGTCAGAATCAGTGGTTCGGGGTTAATCTTGCCAAGTCAGTGGCCAATTCATGTATGTAAAAATATCAGAGAATTCCCTGGACATCGACTATTTGGCATCAAAAGAAATGCTGTCATCTTTCCATGACTGGACTCCACCATCAGTTATTCTCTTCAGTTTGTTGAGAGGACAATGCTTTTTTTTTTGGAAGGGGAAGTGGGGAGGGGAGTTTCTAACTTACAATAGCGTTTTTCACCCTGAATAAAGTACTAAGATGGTGCTGAAAGCTTCAGGTTACTCTGTTCAGTTAGGGCGTAACAGCAGAGTCAACAGTGTTGCTTTGTTGCGTGTGGTGTACAGCGAGCAGGTAAGTTTGAAATTAAACCAACTCAAGAGTCAGTTGCCTGGGACACACAAGGTCAATATCAAACCATAGGGAACCATAAAGAGTGTGTGGGCTGACGATACGGAAACAGCTCAATGTGATGTAAAAAAAAATGAGTCTCTACTTGAACATATACTGCGAATTTCCAGCAGGTATCACAGGAGGAGAAGCTGCTGTAGATAAATAAATGGCAAACCAAGTTCCTTAAACTGGCATCACTTGATGCCAGCAGCGATCTGATGACCAAGCTATCGGCCATTTTCCTTTTCCATGTATCGGCCGACATTTTGAAGCGCTTTTTCGGATTTTCTGGGCTAGTAAATATCAGGGGCCGCACTCCAAGCACCTTATACATGGTTCTGTCATATTTGATTACTCAGGATAATCGTGCAGTGTCAACAATTTGTGAAGGACTATCCTGCTCCACAGGGGTTAACTTTTTACACCTACTTCCTCGAAACAGACATGAGAAGCCATTAATACGGTGGCCCCTGCCCTCAAAAGGTTTTTTTTTCTTTACACACACACAAAACATCGTTTTTGTTTTAAAACACCACTATACTGGATGGTTTCAGGGTTTTTAATCTCCAGCCTTCTCAAAATGCTTCACAGGACTTCACTGTGAAGTGAAATGTACCAAGCGTTGACAAATGCAACAGTCAATTTGTGAACAGAACATGAAGGAGAAGGGATCAGGGGTTTGGGAGAAGCTGTTCTGTATAAACACTGGCATGGACTAGATGGCTAATCGGTCTGTTTCAGTGCGGTAGATGCTGTGTAATTTTATATGAAGTATAGGAAACTTTTAGAAGGAAAGTTAGCTATAACACACAAACACACACAATGTTCAGGAGGGTTGATAAACTATACAAAAGTGCACATGGACTTCACGCTAAAACATTTTTAAATCTTAGTATGAAACCAGAGGGAATGCGACATTTAATAAAGCAGACATTGATTAAGAACCAGGTAGAAATGAAACAACAGTGTTATTTTGAAGCAAACAAATTGTGCGATTCAAACACAACCACAAGATGAGCTCCTAAATTCACCAAAAGTTTGATTTTCTAAATAAAATGGATAAATAGAGCACGACACTCATTTATAACTGAGCAGAGCTTTTGTTGTATTAAAAACTATGAATAAATACATTGTAGAAAAGGTACATCTCAAAGTGTAATCTTGTACCATCACATCGAGCCTTTCCAGGGTTTACAAAACCTGATGGACACATTTGCACACATAGAGTGTGTGAGTGTAAATTAATTGGGAAGAGTTAAGTAGTGACTCTTTAAAAGACATGGTGTATAAGTGGAAGGTTTAAAAGCAATCCATTCCATTCCTTGTCTCACCACCACCAATGGAATTGATTGCTCCCATCCCAGGTCAATGTAAAATGGAAACTAATTCCCAGCATCGCTTGTACCCCGTTGCCTAACACATGGCAGGTTTGCATCAGAACCTGATAGCTCCAGTGTGATAGAAAAGTGGAGGCATCAAGCAACAACTAAATAAAAGAAGAAATGGCAAAGTAAAGGGAGGGAGGAGATCAGACCTAAATCTCTTGATTCCAGTTCGGGTGCAAACCCTTAACTGTCCAGCGCCTTGGGACATCCTTCCGATGTGAAAAGTGCTACATACAAGTGTAATTTTTGTTGTTGGTGTAAAGTTGGCCTCAATCATAATGTAATACATTTGGATTTCCCAGGCTATAAAATGATGTTGACAATATTAGGAAATATATGATTGTTCAATGACTGGGCTAGGAAGACCACAGAGATGAAAGGTTGTCTCAGAGCAAGATTAAGCTGTGGCCCAATTGTGACCTTGAAAGTCTTTGGAGGAAAGGGGTGAAGAAAATTAATAAGCCAGTGAGTCTGGTAAGTGACTGTCTATT